AATAACAAAAAAAATCAGTGTCTCGTGACTTCTAATTGTTTGATGATGTAATGTTTAGTATAATGTTAATTATTGCAGATACAGTGTGTCACGAAAAAAAACTATTGATAGTTGTTAGAGTAATAAATGAGCTTTATACTTTATTTAATGGTTTATGAGCAAAGGGTTTATTGCCACAAATTTAATAGTAATAGAGTATTATTTTTTTTCACAAATATTTCCCATAATAATAATTAGCTTATCAATTATATAATTTATGCATACTAACACTGATAGTTGCTGTTAATTATAGTACTGCACAAAGATTATATTAATTAGTCATTAACTTTTATAACCATTAAACTTGATTATGTAAATTATATATTTTACTTATAAAGACTACATGAATATTACTGAACATTATATCGATATGGTTTAATTTTAAGATACAATAACTTTACATTGTCATAACTGAAATTTAATATTATTATACATTGCTACACTGTGTTTGTTATAAATAGCCGATTTTGTTATTTACTACGGAATTGTTTGATTGGTCAAAAACTCACACCCATGTACAGAGAGACCTCTATAAGTGCACGCTCTCGAGACTTGACGTTAGCGTGCACTTAGGAAGGGTGTGCACTTATAGAACAACGAATAGAAAACCAGAAATCTGTTACGCAGAATAGTGACTAGTACTTTCTCTTTATTATCTTTGATTTGATAGTATAATTTTGATAATAAGTACATGCATAACTACAAAGGACTCGCTTTTGAGGCTGAAATTAACCTTCATTAACGAGATAATATGTATAATGGATATTAGATATTTTATACATGAGCGCCATTTCTTCGTCCGCTACGTTTTACCAGGAACATCTGTTGAACCTGACCTTCGGTGATATATTCGTCTGTATGATGAAACAGCGATGTTATTAATTCCCTAAATATATATTAACGAAATCAATAGGCCATTAAGAGTAGCGATTAAATTAGAAGTGTTGTAATTCTTATTAATTGTTATATTTATAGTTATTACGGATAAAAAGGCCGATGGAGAATATTAATATATCTATTGCCTAAGATATATTCGAGACACGATCCGTAAGTCTGCGAATAAGAGTACTACGAAACGAATCATGAAAGAAAATAGTCAACGCAAAATCATTTGTCTAGCAAGAAAGAATTAGTTACGATATGTCTGATCTCAGAGACAGAATTCTAAAGATATACTTAAGTAGTATAATAAAGTTGGCTAAGTCGGTGGCCTCATCATTAAGCATCGACACCACAGGGCTCTATTGTCACGGTGAGGGAGCGAGCCGCCTCGCGAAGAAAACCGCTGACACAAATGTATGTTTGCTAGATTTATATCAGCAGAAAGTCTAAGATAAATTGATAATAGAGCAAGTTTTTAACACTTATTATTATTATATGCATAATCAATGAAGATTGTTGATATATCATTTTTTTACATGATGGTTCTGGACCAAGACAGGTCTCATACTCAGATACAACGACATTTATTTAAACAAGCAATAAATAGCAGGTTTTTATTCTTTATCTGTTTATTTATTCAGCAAATATAATGAATACATCTTATAACATAAAAGGAGATTGTGTTGTGATAAATCCTATTGTAATTGGTCTCTTGATAAGTCAGACAGCCATCCCTAGCCGGTTGTGTCTGAGTCATCAAGTTTTACTGTGCAAGATTATATTGAGCCCTGACATATCCTTGTTCAGCAGCATTTTTATACCATTCGACTGCTTTTTGCTCATCTTTTTCTACTCCAGTTCCATTTTCATAACACAAAGCAAGATTATATTGAGCACTGACATGTCCTTGTTCAGCAGCTTTTTTATACCATTCAACTGCTTTTTGCTCATCTTTTTCTACTCCAGTTCCACTATAATACCAATAAGCAAGATTGAATTGAGCAGTGACATATCCTTGTTCAGCAGCTTTTTTATACCATTCAACTGCTTTCTGTTCATCTTTTTCTACTCCAGTTCCATTTTCATAACATACAGCAAGATTATATTGAGCCTTGGAAACTCCTTGTTCAGCAGCTTTCTTATACCATTCAACTGCTTTTTGTTCATCTTTTTCGACCCCAGTTCCATTTTCATAGCATAAAGCAAGATTATATTGAGCACTGGCAACATAAGATAAAGCAAGATTATATTGAGCACTGGCATATTCTTGTTCAGCAGCTGCTTTTTTACACCATTCGACTGCTTTTTGTTCATCTTTTTCTACTCCAGTTCTATTTCCATAACATAAAACAAGATTATATTCAGCATTGGCAACACAAGATAAAGCAAGATTATATTGAGCACTGGCATATTCTTGTCCAGCAGCAGCTTTTTTATACCATTCAACTGCTTTTTGTTCATCTTTTTCTACTCCACTTCCATTGGCATAACATTTAGCAAGCTTAAATTGAGCATTGGCATGCCCTTGTTCGGCTGCTTTTTTATACCATTCGACTGCTTTCTGTTTATCTTTTTCTACTTCAGTTCCATTATCGTAACATAAAGCAAGATTATACTGTGCGCTGGCATCTCCTTCTTCTACTTCGGCTGCTTTGTGATATAATTTCCGTTGACGTACTTCTTTCGTTCTAACACCACCACCACATATAGTGAAAAACTTTTTCATAGTTGAAACAGCGTTATTAACCTTTCAACCAGTATACGTTGTTGTACAGTAAATGTTGGAGTTTCTAATATTGGTAGGGCTAGATGTGAATATCGACAACGACAAGAAGTCAGTGAAGTGAAGTACGATGAATTTCGATTACGTATTTTCTCCGTAACTCCGACGGTATCACAGGATCAGCTGATCGGACACTAACACCGAGCAGGGTGGTACGAAAGCATTTGTGACAGCGTAGTGTAATTGGCAGCGCTGCAAAAGACAGCAGGACAATCAAACGCTGTAATTTACAGCATAACAACAATATACTGATAATTAGATAATTAGTAAGCGCTGCTAAAAATCTCTAGGCCAAAACTGTAAAAACTAGAAATCAAAAGCTCCCATACCTTAACATCAAATATTGCAGATACAGTGTCACAAAAAACAAACTACTGATAGTTGCGCGCTATAACGGTTAGAGTAATGAATAAGCTTTATTATTATACTTTATTTGAGGTAATCACTGTTCTCATAACATATAATACAGCAGCAATACCAATTAAATCGGTTAAATAAATATTCTTTGAATGTATCGCTTAATGGATAATAATATTAGTTTAGTGGTTTCTGCTATAAAGTTGACTAGTAAATAGAAGTCTGAAGTATAAGAATTTTAATTTCATTAGCTGAAGAATAAATTTTTATTTATACTAATATCATTAACCGACAATATAATTGCAATAATTATACAAACAATCATTGGCATACGTTATCGAAATCAGAGCCAATACTTCAAGTCTCATTAAATTATTTCTTAGAAGTTTGAGTCAAGCAACGCTTATAATATACACTAACTCGTTAATAAGAATACAATACTATTGTATTACTTATTTTATTAGTACAATATAACCCTTAACTAACTTTAGGATACATACGTAATTGACATTACTCAATAAATATATTCCCATAATTTACGCATTATTCCAAACTGACAACAAAATTCTTGTCGGTGAAATGATTGTCAATAAAATAAAATACCTGTCGGTGAAATGACTCTGTCGTCGAAATATAACGTCTATCGATGTTATGATTGTCTCCCTTGAAGTCGGAGGTTGAAGCTACAAATAACTGCTCAACAAATACTCACAGCAGAGTGGGATGTTAGAGGTGATATTAGCCAAGCAATTAATAGGTGGGGAAATCAGTATTAACAGACAAAAAGTTATTACACCAAAAAGGGGCAGTTACTGAGTATTAGTGTTGATTTTTTGATATAAAATATTTATGTATTTCATATTTAAGTTAAGATGCCGCGGCACATATTAAACATTAAAAGTCACGAGATTAAAAATAGCTAATATAACTGACTAATAAAAAATCGGTATTAATAGACAAAACTAATTATACTAAAAAAGGGTAGAGTTTCCCAAGTTAACAAACATACATCACGCGTTGTGTACACGACAAAAAAAACCCCCATTATAAACATAGCTTAGCATATCCTAAATAAAGACTTATTGACATATGTACTGCTGACAAACAAGATATATCGTAATAACTTATAATAACCACTCTTACTTTTTGCCCGAGGTGTTTCTCATATGAAGAGTTGATTGTACTGAAGGCAACATGTATAAGGCCATATCTGGAGATAGCCGAAGACGGCGAAATTGAAGCAGACAGAGCGGTGTGAGTATTTACTGAGCGGTTATATTTGTACCCAAAAGTTACGCTGTAAATCGGGAGGATCAAAAGCATATCGTAACCATAGCTCGCGTACGGTACGGTAGATCTCATTGCATCTATGATTCTTTACACTATTCTGTTGATATGTTTTCTAATATTCCTTCATTCCTTCACTCCTTCACTTCGAAACGGCTGGTACGGAAAATAAGGTGTAAGCCATCGCATCGGAACAGTCTTTACTGTAACAACAATATTAATATTTCAATTGCTAATTGATCTTTTTATTTCATCATATAATGGTTCAACGCTACGTAACAAATAAGCAAAATAATGTAATGATAATTATGCGAATATTTATAATTCAAAACGAAAGTTAAAGATTTCTATTTACCCTAATAGTTAAGGCGTTTTTCACGAAATCCCGAATGCCATCACTCCCACACGGATGTCAAAGTTCAAAAGAGGGAAGTCTTTACAAACCACCTCCAGAAAACTATTGTGTACACCTTTAGCGTTCAATCGTAGGTGTAGACAATAAAAGAACGCAAATCTCCAGAAAACTATTGTAGTCATCCTTCACATCACAGTATTTTTACAGTCCATTTTAATACATAACCACATTTAACATTCAATCGCAGTGTTATAATAAAGGAATGTAAGAGGTGAGTAGCAAGTTGTATGATATATGCTACTTTGAGATAGCAGTCTCCTCCAAGAAACTAACAACTTTCCTCATATTCTTTGAGAGAGCATTATTTGGAGCATGCTCTTATTCAAATCGTCGATGACTATGAGCACATATCAAGTGCGGCAAATTTTATGGTTGTGTCTATTATAATATTGCGGCAAAGAGATAATAATTGGTATGGCATCATATTAATATTAATGTGGCAAGAGATTGTCATCACACTTACTTGTAACTTGCAACACAAGGATAGTGTACGTTGAACTAAGGCACTGACACAATTGCTATTAAGGTCAGTTAAATCAATGACCCCTGATACAGTTAGCAGCATTGAATCAAGATCAGCATCCATCACAGAGAACGCATCTTCAATGGCATTCAGGGCTTCTCTCTCTTCTGCAGATATCTTTCCTGCAAAGTTTTTCTGTAATACAATGAATGCAAATATTTATTAGCATTAGCAAAACTCTTTCACAGAACAGCATAGCAAATAGCTCCGATAATTAATCACAACAGACTACTTACTGCCCTATCCACAACATCACGGAAATTTTTCTCCGTATATCCGTACATACTATCTTCAACGAGGTAACGCTAGGTTAAACCGTGCGTAAATAGAGAATCTCAGAGTCAGTGCCGGAAGTGAGACTTTTTTGAGGTCTTTTTCAGAGTTGAGCAAACAAGCATATGGCTTATACGTATTGAAAATACAGAAGACGTAGATTAGTTTCGTCGTCTAAGTACCGAAGGGTATTTATTGGCCGCACCACGTTACACAAAATTTATCTATCGCATCATCAAACCTCATCTTCACGCCTTTCTTCTCCATCTTCCATTATTCACTCACATCTTCAAAAATGCTCGTCTAGCTCAATCAGCTGTCTTCTGGACTATATGGGCCTCCTACACTTCAACATCTTTTGGTTCCTCTAATCCCTCCTCTATATCAGAAGCTTTATCTCCATCCTCCTCTCATATAAAATTATTACTCCATACTTACCTTGGCCTTCAACTGTCTCTATCACTAAAATCCTTCTCTCTTCTCACATTCCTTCAACTAGCACTACAAACATATAAACATTTATATCGCTTGCATATTAATATACAGTGTCTTACAAAAAAATTATCGCGTAATGTAAACAGTTCTAATTCACTCAATTTGGATCCAAATTACGTCGCGAATAGTTCAAAACAAACGCAAAGTTTTGTTTTGTATATAATAAAGGTTTATTTTGATATTATTTATCGTAATTTGTTTTCAAATGTCTTCAACCGAAAAGCAAGCGCAACGCCAAGCTATATTACATTTTTGGAACAAGGGTGTCAAACATGCAAAAGAATTATACATTCTGACCAAGATACCACTTTCAACAATCTATTGTAATATTGAAAATTTGAAAAATTGAAAAACTGGCAACATATTGCATAAGGGAGGTAATGGCCGACCTAAAAAAATTCCGTGTGGCGCAACACAAGCCATCGATCAGCACATTCGAAGAGACACGTCTTTGTCACTGAGAGCTTTGGCAACTAGACTGACAGCAAACAGTGTCAACGTATCTCACGTAACAGTTTCGAGATATTTAAAAAACCATGGTTACCAGAAAAGCATTCCACGGGCCACTCCCAATGTTGGTCAAACACATTATTCAGTGATGAAATGGCTTTTCAACTGTTTAGGAATACGGTTTCTTGCTGGCTAGGGGAAAGACCAGTCCGATGCATTCCAAAAGATAGAACGAAAATTATGGCTTGGGGTAGCTTTTGTATATAAAAGGCAAAACCTCTCTGTTTTGCTTTTCTGAAATAATGGATGCAAAACCTGTATGTAGACATTGTCAAGCCTAGGTCTTAAAGGCGACGTATTCCTCAGTGATTTCCGCTCAATAGTACGAATATTTCCATCTGCGGCACATTGAATTTCTGCGGCTAATCGATCGG